TTTCCGATAATAGGCCAGCCTTTGGGTCCTGGAGGAAGAGAACGGTTGCGTTTGCCTGAGAGTATCAGGCTCACTAAGACCACGCCTAGCGCAGCAAGAGTAACGTCTGACACGGACACAGCACCGAGCCGGAGCATGTCAGGCAGTGAGGGGCGTGAGGGGGCGATTGGAATGTCGATCTTTATAGAGAACGTCTGGCTTTGGATACAGGCAACGCCCGTAACCTTACTATACATGCGAAGGGCTGTCAGTGTCACGCACAGTGGATCCCTCGAAGAATCCATGCTTGTACTCGGATGAGCTCCGCCACAAGTTGGCCACTCATCATTTCTGTTGCAGAGCTCTACGCAAGCTCACAGTGACACGAAAAACACCGTCAACTGCAGCCTCCGAATGCGATGAGGAACGAGGACGTTATCGCGATATGAAGATCCACAGCGTTTTTGTTTATTCCTAGACAAATCAACTTGAGGTGTCAGCAAGTGTGATCTCCGACTCAAGTTGGAGTTCTCCTCAACTTAAGATGCATCAAATCTCAAAAAAACCTGTCATGTGGAACGTCTTGCTCAGCAGGTTCCATGGCTCCTGATTGTTTGTTTAGATGCTGGTTAGTATGTGAGCATCTACGGAGAGCTCTCTACCATAAAGATTCACCAATTTCAAATTCGTGTATGAATCGAACATGGGATGCGACATTGGCCGCATATGTTGCCATATTTCACTCCTCGGTCGAGATGTGTTCCAGAGTGTCAACATTCAAAAGGAGAGCCATTGTATTCAGAGTCAAAGGTAGCTGACAGAGGCAAATGCTATGACGAGATGCGATGCTCAGCCTCGACTGGCACCAGCCCCGTCCGGCGCACAGTGATCAATGCTCTGTTCGATAAGGTCACCTGTGTCCGCAGGCTGAGGGATCCTGCAGGAACCGTAATATATAATCTCAATCCGACGTCATGTAGACGGAGGACTAATGTATGTGCCTGTAATATATGACTAGAGAGCTATAAGTAATAGATCGCATGGAATGAAGGACATACGCACTCTCAATCCGACGTCGTGTAGACGGAGGACTGAGGCGACGATGTAAAACGTATCGTCCGCGAGTTACCTAATTTAGAAGGACGGTGAATAAGATAAGGAACGAGTATAATAAGTAGCTAATGGTGTCCGTTTGTATTACTGACTTCACAATCCATTTACTTCGACAGATCCGACTTTCGTCGTCAAATTATGGCCGAGTTGGCGCCTGTCCTCACTGTGATATTCAAGACGGACAGCTCTAATTGGGCCCTGGGCCAATTGTGTCCGCATTAGGATTTGAGCGGTGAAGCGATATGCCGGGGTCCTACTAGTATGTACGGTTGCCGGTCAGTTAAACTTACTTACTCTGCATAGAGGTTTCGGTCGGTACAACCTCGCGATATGCTGCTCTCTGGCTGGTGCTGGCATAGCGTCCACAAGACCATTAGTACCTCTGCGCATCTTACACGCCGCTCGATCTCTCTCTCGGCGGTCGAAGGGCCAACACACCCACCTCTCGTTTCTCATACGCTACCGGACTACTTCGCACAGGAAATACTAGGGAAGCATGGGTCTCGACCGGCTCTGATTGCGAGAGGGGAACGATCGCGCCCACACGGTGGGCCTCTGTCTCCCAACATGGGTGTCTCCCAGCATCTGGCCTGGGATTTTGAGGAATTTAACAGACATATACGGGCTTTGGCCCGAGGTTTATTGGCCCTAGGCGTCAAGAAGGGCGATCGCGTCGGAGTGGTGATGGGCAATAATAGGTACGCCCGATCATATGAAGTTGTTGAGACCTGCAGCTGGCTGACATGGCTTCACTTAACATAAAGTGCGTATGCACTGCTGCAGTGGGCGTGCGCTAGCGTTGGGGCAATACTTGTGACTCTGAATCCTGCCTATAGACTGACAGAACTGGTGCGTAACAACCGAGAATTTACACCAGCAAACAGTACAATTTGTGCCAGGTAAACACGCTCCAACTCGTAGGCGTCAGCCACCTGTTCGTAGTGCCAAGAATTCGCACTTCGGCGTACGTCTCAATGTTGGCCAACGCATTTCCTGCTCTGCAAAATTCATCTCCCGGCGATATACAAGAGCCTGCGCTACCGAATCTGCGTCACCTAGTGGTTGTAGACAACACCTCAGACTTAAACGCGTACCAGAGAAATCTTGACGATGTTAAGTGTACTGTGGATTTCCGCGAGGTGATGGTGTGGCGGGAAGATGGCACAGAAAATCAGCGTATTAAGGAGATTGGGTTGAGCCTGAGGAATGACGACGTGATCAATCTGCAATTTACAAGGTAACACAAATACGTCGCTGAGCATCAGTAAATTTGTTTAACCTGTTTCTACGAAAGCGGAACAACAGGTCTACCCAAAGCTGTCTCGGTACGTCGATCAATCCTCCGCATGTATATTGATCATGTAATTACACTTTACATACAGCTCACGCACCACAATCTCCTCAACAACGCCTTAGCAATAGGGAACAATATGCACCTGACACCATCTGATATCATCTGTGCGATCCTTTTTGTTAGCCACACAATTTATTCTGAGATGTTGTGACTTCAGGCAACGTTCCTCCGCTCTTCCATTGCTTTGATATGTCAATCTCATTGACTTTCCGTCGCCTCGTCACTGACGTTATCTCCCTCATTGGTGTTGCCTGCTACACGTCTCGTCCTAGGCAATCTTGCGGCGTGGTCACATGGTTCTTGCATTGTCTACCCGTCTGAAATATACGACGCCCGTGCGATAGTCGACGCAATATCTGCAGAAAAGTGTACGGCGTTGCACGGAGTGCCCACCCATTTTTTGGGTGTGCTCGCTGAAGTTCTAGCTCGCAAGAAAGCAGGAAAAGCCGTAGAAACGAAGACACTGAGGTTTTACGTAGCCAATTATAGCCCAAACAACAGTTGAGCTGATAGTCATTGTGCAGGACAGGGATCGCTTCTGGAGCACCCATTCCGATCGACTTGATGAAGCAGCTGATCGCGACACTAAACTTGACAGAGTTGACGGTCGCTTTTGGAATGAGTAAGTATACTGTGGCTTGAATCTTGAATGTGTGTTGTGTAAACTAAGAAAACCGATACAGCGGAGACAAGGTACAGCATTTCGCCCGGCGTGCACTTGAAGGTCTACAGACCCGCGTTTATCTTTACAGCCCAGTGACTTTCCAAGCAACTCCAAACGACCCCATTAACAAGCGAGTCGAAACTGTGGGGAGAGTCTTGCCTCATGTCAAGGCAAAGGTTGTAGATCTGGAGGGCAACGTTGTCCCAGTCGGGACTCCGGGAGAGATTCTTGTTTCAGGTTATGTTCTACAGAAGGGGTCAGCTTGAATAGCTACTTGGCGTACAGTTTACTGAGTACGGGTACGCAGATATTGGGAAGACCAGGAGCAAACAGACCTCGCCACGAGAAAGGATGCGAATGGGGTTTTATGGATGCACACTGGAGATGAAGGTGTAATGGATGAAGATGGTTACCTTAAAGGTGAGGAATTGCTTTCCCATCAAGTCCTCTCAGCGTTGATGGACCTACTGCAATCAGTGGTTGGAAGAATAAAGGTATGAGGTTGTGTATCTACGGATCGTCCAGCTGAACGATACTGCAGGATCTAATCATCCGAGGTGGAGAGGTCAGTACGCATATACGGTTATTTAGCCATCACTATTGAGATCGTACCAGAACCTATTTCCAGTCCAGATCGAGAATATTTTGACGGACCATCCTGCAATACGAGAGGCGGCTGCTATAGCTATTCCTGATCCGGTCTTCGGAGAGGTAGTTGGCGCATGGATCGTGCGAGAGCCTCATACAAAGTCTTTGACACGAGAGGAAGTACGTGCGCTCGTTGCACAAAAGATGAATCCCCAGGTACGTCCTCGCGTGGTTTATCTGCTTACTTTGAGTACGATTACGCTTTTTGACCTAGAATGCGCCTGCGTGGGTATGGTTTACCGGCGAAGAGGGTGTTCCGGAGGAAGTGCCGAAGACTGCAAGTGGGAAGGTTATGAAGCACGCATTGCGGTCATCGGCGCGCGAGTTGGTCGAGAAGAGTGTAGGGCGTGTAGGCTCAGTGCCGAAGCACGGCAAGCTGAGCTAGTGAGTCTCTGACCCCATGCTCCGTTGAATGGCCGCCGACAGTTGAACACAGGATACTGTAATTTGTGGCTTCTTACACTATGTTCGCAATTCAGCATAGAAATGCCCATACAGTGAGACCGTGGGCCCAGTGCCCTATCTGCTGACTTTGGATCAGTTCAGTCCTTACGTCGCGCCAATCGGATCTTGTGCGCAAAGTTGAGGGTGCTGATTTCTCGCCGTGATATCGTCGATTGCGGCCAGTTGCACTCAGAAACGATAGTAAATTGCCCAATAAGGTCAGTGCGCCTGCCGTCACATCTCACATTGAGGTGCGTCATTGTCACAATCATGCCCTAAGACTGTTTAGTTATTAATATCAACGTTGGTGGAGCATATTCTTCGCGAGCTCACGGCTTCTTCTGTGACGTCACGCTGCCGGCCCGCCGGCCGGCGGTGTTCTATGAGAGCCGGCGCTCGATGATACTGCAGATAAATACCAGCTCGTCCTCAGCCGCGTATCGTTCTTCGTCTTCGCTTCTATCATCGTCCCCACTTGTTCTCTCATCCACTCCCTGCACCTGACAACAACTACGATGCCACAAGGAACAATGAGAGCGCTTTGGTACAATAGTGTGCGTTTGGCTCATACCGTGATCGTCGTCGCTCTAGACCGATTCGCCGAGATAGCGCGAGGGCTGACGTACTATCCAGCCCAGAGACTTTATGATTAAGGAGGTACCAATCCCCAAATGTGGAGATGACGATCTTCTCTTGAAAGGTAACGCGCCCGGCGTCGTTCCTACTGAGGGAATCTCCATTTACCACGGTTATGGCAGTGTCTTGTTGTGGCGTTTGCGGAACCGACGGGCATATACATGAAGGCGAATTCATAGCAAAATTCCCTGTAAGTGAACAAGAGGTCATAGAGCGCGCATATATTCACGTTTTGAATAGCTCATCCCTGGCCACGAAGCCATCGGGGCGGTAGTGGAGAAAGGAAAGAATGTCACTGGTTTCGATTTGGGAGACCGTGTGGTTGCAGATGTCGGAATTTCGGTACGCGCGCGTTTATCTTTAAAACACTGATGCCTCATCTATACCCATAGTGCGACAACTGCTTCTACTGCCGGCGTGGACAAGCCGTGCTTTGTGAAAATTTTAATGCTCGGGGTGTTACAATGGATGGTGGTTTTGCTGAATACATTGTTTAGTACGTGCCCGTTTGCTCGTTTCCAGCGCATATACTCACATATTCGAACAGCCATCAAAAGAAGTGCTACAAGATTCACAATTTGACCGATGAGGAGTCAACACTTCTGGAGCCCGCTGCATGTGCTATTCATGGTCTGGATAAATTGAACCCACCTGTCGGGATTGATGTGCTTCTGCTTGGTGCTGGCCCGACTGGTCTGATCCTCGCTCAGCTGCTCAAGTTAAATGGCGCGCACAAGGTGGTCATTGCTGCTAACAAGGGTATCAAGATGGATATTGCGAAGGAGTTGAACGCTGCGGACGAGTACATTGAACTTGACAGGCAGAATCCTGGCCCGCAATGGCAGCAGTTGAAGAAGGACAACCCGTATGGTTTTGACGTGGTTGTAGAAGCAACCGGCGTGGAGAAGCTTGCCCAAGAGAGCATCAATTATGTGCGCCGAGGTGGTACGATCATGATCTACGGCGTGTACGAGAATAAAGCTTTGGTGCACTGGCCGCCATCAAGGATCTTCGGGGACGAGATCAAGGTAGGGTTCCGCCGTCTCACGAGTGAATCGAAATCATAACATCTCGCAGATCATCGGCTCGTTCTCACAAGCATACTGTTTTCCCCGAGCAGTGGCATATTTGGACGGTGGAAAGGTTAATGTGAAGGGCATGGTAAGAGGATATACATCGACCTTTGCTCAAAGTGTTCATCTTTGTGTCATCCAGGTCACGGACGTCTTCAAGTTGGAGGACTACCAGGGGGCCTTGGACAAAATGAACAGCCGTGGGGCGCTGAAGATTGCGATCAAACCGTGAGTGTGGTACTGGGTGTGGAAAGATCAGTGTATTATAGAGTAGCTCAGGCCAACTGAAAGTACTTACTGTGAAGTATACATACATGCCCATGTTCATCCTGAAATCAATTGTAGCTTTATGATACCTGAATATTGAACTTTAGAGTTCCATCTTCCTGGTCTCACCTGATTGTATTTGTCCGAAATTGTAGTTACATCAGTCATGTCTGTTTGCATGCAGTCAGCGAGTCCTATGGCTTTGCCGCTTCGGGCTATACAAAAAATGAGACCTCTCTGGCGGGGAGTCGAACCCCGCTTTCGCGCGCTCCAGAAGATCGACAAACCCAACTTATGACAGGCGCGTGTACTAACCGATATACTACCAGAGATTATTTTTCGTTACTACCGTGGGTAAATCTTCTCATCTCACACGATCACGAACTAGCTTAGGGTTAGGAGTTACGCGGCTTGAACGATGGCCTCATGAGCATGATTCTGATAAAATTCAAAAACATGCGCGAGGCAGGATAGAATATGTTGGACATGGTGTGATAGTCAATATAAAATCCCTCTCAGCTGATTATAGCGATAGCTTAGGGGTCGACTACTCGAATCCGAATTTAGTAGGCTCACTTGCACTGTTCACTTTTTGCGCACTGCATAGGTTCACATCGCTTGCATCATTGAAACAATGGTAAAGACAGGATAGATCCCCTTAGTACACTGTCATTTATCAATCACGACGAAGCACACAGACGATAACACCGCCCAATCAAGTACTTCCGCCTCCTGCCCTCGTGCGCGTATTCCCGATCAAAGCGACAGCCTGTGCTACTGCCGATTTCGGGGAGAACGGATTGCTCCCCGGATTCAACTCTGACTTGCCTATTGCTGGCCCTGACGTCGGTACTGTTCCCGGACGAATGCCAAACCCAGAAGGTTCAAATGGCGGCGCCCGCCCCGACAAATTTGACCCACTGGCCGAAGGTGTAGGGACGTGTGTGCCCTGAGTCTGAGGGACAGGGACAGGTGAAGATGCTGACGATGAACGACCGGAACCTGAGCCAGAATTTGAGTGAGCTCGTGAACCTACTTGGCCAGATATCCGACCTTGAGCTGGTGCTCCCAGTCCGGGCTTGTGAATGGTTGAGTGTAGGTGGATGACGCCTGGTCCGGCACTGAGGTCTCGATGACTAGGAAGAGACAGTCGCGCGCTATGTGCGGGGCGTTGAATCGGTGGAATGGCGTCTGGTCGGCTCATAAGCAAGGTGTCTGGTGAGGGGAAAGAGGGGGATGCGTTGAGCTGATTTGGATGACTATGTGGATGCGAGTGCCGTTTCCGAGGATGTGAGTGGCCGGTACCGTGATGCGGAGTCGGTTGATGTGGGGTATTCCCGGGGTGATGCTGTCGGTGGTGATGGTGGGTGTGTAAAGAGTGACTGCTAGATGTATGTGATGACGAGCCATCTGGATTGTGGCGGGCGGAACCTCTGCCTTCATGCTCTGTAATCGAACCCTCGTTGACTCCTCTCAAGCTGTCCGCCTCTCCTTTCGCACTTGTGTCGACCTCGTAGCCATATGGGTCCCGCTCTATCTTTTCCCGTTCTTCTTCCAATCGCCTTAGTTTCTCCTCAAGCTCACTGATAGTTCCGCCGCCGTCACCTTCCCCACCGCCCTCCAGCTTCTCTCTTTTGACTGTCAACTTCTCTAAAGTTTTGGTGAGCGCACCAACTTCTGTAGCCCACCCCTCCCTCCTACGCTTCTCCCTCCCTTCCACCTCTTCTCTCTCATGTTTTTGCTCCTCTGCGTGCACCTTAACAGTCTCCAACTCCCTTTCTACCTCTCGTACTTTCCGCTCGAGTTCTGGGAGCGAGCGTTCAATTTCCAATCTCGCCTCTTCCATGGCGCTCGCAGCAGCTTCAGTCTGTTTTCGCGCCTCCTTGAGGGCGAGAACCTTCTGACGCGCACGATGTTCATTTGCCGCACCGCGCTCTGCAGCACGCCGCAGCGCCTCAATTTCCCCGCGCACACTCGCGTCCGCTTTCTGCGCCTCACGCCGCGCGGCCTTGAGCGCGGCAGTGAGCTGTGCGTGTTCAGCTGTCAGCGTGGACAACGCCAGTGTGAGCTCTTGCCGACGTTGCTCTGGTGTTAAGGGAGCAGGAGCAGAAGCCGGAATTGTCGGAGAAGGGGCCGTCTGTGTTGAATTCGTTGATGTAGGGTGCGGGGAAGACGGGTGCATCTGAGAGGACGTGCTGGATGGGGCTGATGTGCTAATGGCGCTGGCGTCGTCCGAAAGTGTCTCGGAGTGAGAGGAGTCTGAATTGGCAGTGGTCTCGGTTTCTACTGCTTAGATATGTCAGATTCAGGTGCGGTATGGCGATAAGCGAAACACAGAACGAGGATAGTAGCCCGATTCTTTGATAATGGAAGAATGCCCTCGGAGCCGATAATGCAGCTGCCAAGCGATTCCCCCACTATCCGAAGATGATGGATGAAAAGGCCTCCCGCAAGGCCAAACGTCATCTGCCGAAGTCGGAGATCGTTATCCTGCGCTGTGTGATTGCAGCACTTCTCAGAGGAGCCTTGATATAGGCAGCTTGTGATATTCAACACGAGATCGTTGCTGACGCCAGTGTCAGTCACACAACAAAGAGATCACCATGTTGTCGCATTACTATGGCGTCAGAAAGGGTGTTTAGTGAAAGGATAAGCTTCTCAGAAGTTCCCAAATAGAGCTCTTTTGTGGTGTCATATCATTCATCAGGATTTACTCCGAGAGTGGATTGTAATATTCGTCAAGGTGAAACAACCGACGGAAATTGAGACTTACTGCGGGATCCCTTTGCATCGCCAATACCTCGTGTATAACGAAAAGAAACACTCTGACACTGTCGGCAGAAAACCATACTCACCAGTTGTAATCTGCCCTCTCACCAATCCTAGCCCTGCTACCACCCCAAGCTCAACATCATATTGCCGACCAGGCATGAGGCCGAACAATATGATGACAGCCTCGTCAGTAGCATCGTCGATGCGAATGAGTACACGTTGCCACGGAATGCCGTTGACGTTTACTGAAAGTCCCTGAGAAAGTATTTCGGACACGATTTGAGCTTTGTGCCCTTCCTCTTCTTCCTCCTCATTATCTTCCCTATTGGCGAATAGTGCGTCACTGGATGAACGACGATCATGCGGTGTAGGATCGGATGTAGATGTATATGGTGAGGCAAGGATAAAAGTGACTGAGACCGAGGTGATCTCGCGAACAGAGAGTGCGAGAGTAGGCCGCCAAGGGCGGATTGCATGCCATTCAGATGGGGTAAAGTCATTCATTATGTAGACGAGGGGTGTTTACGAGATCTAGCAAATTTTGCAGTCCAGAGCGAAGGGATGAACGCAATGCACAGCGTCGAGAGCAGACCTCGAATACCTGGGCGCGGAAAAAAGACGCATAGGCGCTTATTGAACGAGCGGATTGTTACAATAATAAAAGGGCGTCTACAGGACCCTTAAAAAAATTGGAACACTAAGCATGTATCCAGGGAGAGAAAAAGAGATACACCGTCTCAAAGACGTCGTCAACTTGAGACTTTCGGATACGGGGAATCGAACCCCGGGCTATCGCGAAACACTTGAGAGGCGATAATGTTAGCCACTACACCATATCCGATATACCGTGCGCCGCTATACTTTTTTCAATACGTTGATTGCTTATGGTAATCACAACATATTCAATCCATAAATAGAATTATCGATTATGTAACGTTCACGATCCTGCTAATATGATGTAGTCACTACGATCCATCGCCTATTGCTAAATAGTAACACCAAAAGGTGCGACCGGGCTGCCGAGACACGAATATACTGTAAGTGTCCCAAGCTATGTCTGTAGTTCTCAAGTTAGTCACAAATTTTCAAAGCTGAAGCAGAACAACTGTACATTACGCACAAAATGCCACCATCAGCCCTCATTCTTATCGCAGACGGGACAGAGGAAATGGAGTTGTACGTTAGAGTCAATCATGCCTAAACAAACTGTTCAGTGCCTGGCTCCTCCGGAACTGTAGCACAATCACTTATGACACGCTTGTACGTGCGGGAGTGAAATGCACCTCTGCGTTCGTCCCAGCAGCGGACGCTCCAGAGGAGAACAGCGCGACGTTGCCATATGCGACTGGCTCACGCGGTATCAAGATTGTTCCGGATACCTACTTCTCGCCACAGGCAGCCGCTCAGGTTCGTCGCAGGCTGTATTGAGGGTGTTAACGGGCTACGCGTGACTAATGTACCATAGCGGGATTATGATCTGCTCGTTATTCCAGGCGGTGCGAAGGGTGCAGAGACCATCTCCCAGAACTCGCCGGTGCAACATCTTGTGAGGACCTTTTTAAATAATGGGAAGTTTGTCGGGATGATTTGTGCAGGTGTGTCATGCCCAAAGCAACGTGCACAACTACAGTAGATTCACAAAAGGCGAGCAGGCAGTTTGGCAGCATTGACATCAGACCTCCCAAAGCAGCCTCTCACATCACACCCAAGTGTTAAGGGTCAGCTTGAGAAAGGTACCGTGTTTCTAATGTTTGCTTTCGTCGTTCAATGAGGTAACACCGACACTAGACTTCGAGTATTCAGAGGAATCGGTGATTGTCTCTGGGAAGCTAATAACGAGGTGCGTGAGGCGTTGTTGCGCGTCTTCTTCTTATACCCACTTATGAGACATCTGGAATAATACTTCACTCACTAGCCGCGGGCCTGGTGAGTATTGATTGCTGAAATTATGTCACATGTTGAACGCGTTTTTCGGACGTATCGCATATCTGCAGGTACCGCATTCCCTTTTGCCTTGACGCTTGTAGAGCTCCTTTGTGGGGAGAAGAAACGCGCTGAAGTCGCAGGACCGATGATATTTCCGCCCGGAACATTTGCATAAAGCCGTGGCTCAATACGGAGTGAGTGGTCTTCCAAATATTTGTACCTCTATGACATCACGCCACTAAGCAGTGCTATCGATTGAAATTCCGATGAATGTCCACCGTGGGGTCGCCGATATCATCAGTATGAGATAAAGATATCTAACTTCGTGCCCGCTTGTGTGGCCTGAGTTTTGCCAATAGGTCCGATGAAGTTATTGCATTTGAAAGCCTCACGGAGTCTTCCGACTTGCATCATGTAACAAACTCTAGAGAATGAGAAGAGCGCTCGAATCTTTCACTATACACTAGTCACAGGCTGTGGCGGGCTCACTTTCAAGTTGTTCACCTATAAAACCCGGCCATTTGTGTCAATCCATCCTTCACTAAACCAACATCTTACCGGTAACTCGTGCGTTTGAATCTCGTGTTCATGAATCCTTCAACACATATCACTCAACCGTCAGTATATATACAATGAATGCCACAGCTCTCCGTACCTTCACGCACCTTCAGATTCGGAGGCTATGTCCGACAAACATCTATAAGAAACTGACGCTAGAACCGTAGTCTAGAGGGAGGGCATCAAACCCAACGTGAAGACGGACACGATCATCCATCAGTTATGTACAACATACCCGAGTGGAATGCCACCGTGAGTGATCTTCTTAGAAGCTGCTGGAGCTTGTATTTGATCCATTCATTATAGACTCAAAGGAGAGAAGCGAGAGACGCAAACCCTCACGCACCCTGAGGAAGATAGAGATTCAAAAGGAGGGAGAGATGGTTGCGATTAGCAACATATTGATAGGTACGATATTTATCCTTATACCCACGAATATTTAGTCTAGATAGCGTTCATTGATAGTATTGTCTCGTGACCCAAAAGAAAGGAAAGGGTCATTGACGGTTGAGCGCATCGGTCAGTTGTGCAGGGCAATCGCAATCGTGAGGCATTTGGCAAGTGAGTATGCGTTTCCCTGATCTCATAACCGCTCAACATAGCAAATGCTTTCCTTAGCAAACTAATCGTAGGGGCAAGTCGCAAAAGTGGTCCGTGTAATCCTCCGCAAGCTGGCAACCATGGCGAATTCCGAGGTTGACTTCAAGGACCAGCTGGCCGAAATAGAGTTGCTTATCAACATGAACAAGCAGCTTAAATGGGGAGTTGGAAACAATACAGAACAAGCGCAAGCTTGTTGAGCGATTGTACCTGGAGCGGCCCAAGGAGGACCACGCTCTGTGGGACGGGTAACACGCTTAGCGGAAGGGGAACGCATACTCTTTGTACAGCGAGAAGGTATGCGGCATCCGCGTCACGTCGTGTCCCTGAAGACACTAGGCGGAACTCCTCCTCAAGCTGACAAAGGTAAGAAGAAAACAAGGGGGAGAACGAAGAGTGGGTGCCCTGCTACTATACGAGGCTTTTACATTGATTCAGATGTTGCCTACTTGCAGACCACGCGAAGAGTCGAGACCGCTGGGTAGGACCAACATGCCTCTAAATGTTGCATTATACTTCTTGCCAACATCCGGAGGTCTGCTGACCCGGAAATGCCCTCGTGAGCTGCGCTGCCGCAAACTCCTCCGCGCAAGTGTAGAAGGGCTGCTTCCATCTGATCTGGGAGATCAAACGTGTATAGACAGGCGATATTATCCGTTCTAGCTGATGCTTCTCTTTCTCTTTTATGACGACATCTGACAGCACTCTTATATTCGTTGGTGAAGAGTGGGTGACAAACCCTATAATCTAGCATTCCCTCCTCCATGTATACTCCTCACAATCTCATAATTTGCTATGGTGCCGTTAACTTGGGCGGCCATAGTACCTTGAGCAGCCTCTGTAACCGAAGTGCTAGACGCGAGAACTGCCATGCTGTCCAGTATGGGAGCGGGCTGGAAGGCTTGATTAGCAGAGACTGTAAGTGTTGCGCCGTGAGTCCGCGACAGTGCGGAGGGACATGGGATCAAGTATTTGTAGTGGTCAAAAACAGTGCACATGGTTCGCTCGACAGCGATACATCGATTATCAAAATGACTGAAATATTTCTCACAGTAGCCCGTTTAGCTCAGTGGTAGAGCGCGCCACTCGTACCTCGGGTGTGGCTGCCCCTTGTTCCTCGAGTGGGTAGCTATGCTTGGTCATGGTGAGGTCGGTTGTTCAAGTCAGCCAATGGGCAGACCTTTTTACGGGCCGCGAATACGTAGCCATTCAAGTTCTCATGAAAGGTGGAGAGGGGGGGAGAGTAGTTGATCGCTCGGGAGTTGCTCAGTCCACGTAACATTCGCGCTAGCCATGTTTGGCACTGTGATCGCCTTCAACTTCAAATTCGGCATCTCCCCTTCATCTCTCTCGTCTTTCCCCGGACCAGGCCCCAGTTCAAACATCATGTAGCGACTAGTACCGAGCGACCATGCCGAACAGAAAGAGGCCCTCCAGGAAGCAGTCTGCACCAGGGCCTATTGCAGCTCATCTTCTTCCAGACACGATAGCGAGGGACGTCGACGGTGCCAGGTGGGACGAGGTCGTTCGGCTGCTTTGTGAATATTTCCAACTGCCAGGTAATGCCCTCTTGCGGGATCGCTCTCGAGATGTTTATAACGCAGCCTTTCAGACCTCACCACACGGGGCAGGCTTAAGAAAGTGCACAATCACTTTGATAATATTTACAGGAAACTTGACGATGCTTACACGACTAATATTGACAATGAGACGGTGGTGGGTGGTATAGTTAATATATGGGCGAAAATGTTCGCGGATGCTCTTTTACGCGATAAGCTGTTCAAGAGAGGTTCGTAATATGTCTCAACACGTAAAACGTTGGCTCATCCAAAGGTCAGGATTGGTGGCAAAGATGATCCCAGTTTTCGATATGCCGGAGGCGTGGTATGTCGGACTTCAGGCATTGACTGCCGTGACACACCACGGGGGGGTAAATGCACGGCGAGAAATTGCGAAAATTACGCCCACTCTTTTGCGCTTGCTGAGCGAGCACCCGGACAATCCCAAGGTCATCGAACTCGCAACGGTCACGATGGCGCACGCCATTAGCGCGACTGTTGGACAGCAACATCCCGCAGACCGCAAGCTCGTCGCACTGCTTGACATGCGATCTGTCCTGGAGGCCACTATGAATAACCTGCGCAAGCCATTCGTGTCACACCTCATGTTAACCCACGCAATGACGCTCGTAACCAGCTCGACGCTTCACTGCCACAAAGAATACAATGCGGTCCCATCCGTAGTCTCCTTCCTTGTCGCATGCCTCCGAAGCAATGATGTGACAACTAGATGCAGTGCTCTGGGCGGTCTATTTCGCCTGATTATCCATGACTCCGAGGAAGACAGACGGCTTTACGACCCGCAGAGGATCATGGCCGCAGTGCAGCGCGGCTTTCCGGAAAACCTCCAGGACATCATGGTGGATTATGGTCTGCAGAGGTGTGATTTAACACTGATTTTGAAAACCGCGGGAGCATATCAGAAAGCAATGATGAAGTGCGCGCAGGGCAAAGATCTTTACGCACTTGGCAAATCGCTCGCAGATTTCATTCTGTGCACCGAGTTCTCCATCGCAGAGGGTATGTTTCAAGCACTCAACGAACGTACGGGGTTACCCGAGACCATCGACGTCGGGTGACCATTCACCATGTGGACGGACGCGATGCCATTCTGTGTACGTGCGCTTCGTGAAAAAGGATCTCCCGCAGACCTCGATGCGGCAGACATTGTGGAAATCAAACACTCGCTCATTAAGCAGCGCACTTCGGACGCGATTGCAGCTGCAAGGAGAGCCATGGAACGCAACCCTAAACTAGCATACTCTTTCTATGTTTCAGGCTTAAGTGCTGACAGCACTCAGAGTCTGAAGGCAACCAAGAAGGGGCTGAAGTGCACTCAGATCACGCCTTTTGTGCGTCACTACATGCTGTGGCGCGCAGTTGAGCACGCAGGAAACATGGGCGTAAGTACATTACAAGAAGCAGTGGCAGGCCAGAAGGACTATGCGGAGGGTCTTGCATTTTTGATGTCCTCGTGCGAAGACGCGAAGACGTTCATCTCCGAGGCGCCACCAGACAATCGAAATATGCAAACCATCCTGAATTGGTACATCATCTGCACTATTGCTGTCCGAGGCTCAGACTTAAGCCCCGACTTGAGAGAATTCGATGTTAGTGCCTTGGGTACTTCATATTGCAAAGCTTTGTATGCTGAGCAGGACGCTACGTAGGACGTGATCGAGAAACTCAAGGTTGCGGACCAGTTCTCCACTGTTCTTGGGTATCTGCCTAGAAAGACGCAGATACGTCTCGCACGCCAATTGATTGTGGAGTCTTATGGTTCTGCCGTCCAGGGCTGGAGTGATGTTCTCGCCCGTTTCGACAGCCTCGGGTCACCGAAGACGCATGACAAACCATCTCTTAGCAAAGCAGAGGATGATCTCACTGCATGGTTGGAAGATCTTCGTATTGACGATGAGCAACACGGCTCCGGCCCCATGAAGTGTACCAACTCATTGGTCAGTCCGAACTCGGTCTCGCTTTATCGGTGCACGTATTGCGGGAACCCCAGTGCGGCGTTGAGGAAATGTGGTGGATGTGGCAAAACTAGGTCAGTATTGATTTTATCATTCATATTGAGTATTAAAAAACTAAACTTTCATTTCGACAATCAATCTGCACAGATATTGTGATGGAGGATGTCAGAAATCGCACTGGGGTGACCATAAGCACGTCTGCAAGCTGCAATCATCTTAAATGAGTCAAAATCGACATTTAGTGTACCGAACTTAAAACCCTAAGCTCCATTCTTGTGCTGTATCTCTTATTGTTGATGTCTCCTATTGTATTTTGCTCATCGTACACTGGCCAATTTGTGAAATATATGCATGGCATCCACGAACTGTTCGCTTCGAATCAGTTGCATTCTTCATACGCTGTTCTTTCACTCACAATTGAACCCGGAAGTACTCAGTACTCAGTTCGTGCGGTGAGGTAAGAGCGTACGATATATTTCTCAAATACGAAGTAATGAAATACTGCAGTACATAAATGAGCTATCCGGTCTCATCCTCTCCTTCGCTTCGTTTTGCCGGCGTCCAACACATCTGCCTTCCGTTCGTCGACCCTTTGTAGGAATTCGACCTTCTCCAGATATCCCCCACCACGGCGGTTCGCCGCAAGCTCATCCTTGACCCCTGATTGCTCCTCTGTCTGGACATGCGCCCGCCAATCCATGGCCGACTTATCCAGCGTCGACAGTTTCTTTGCCTTGGGGGCGTTCGGAAGAGGGGCCAACGCGGTCTTCGGCCTGCGTGGTCCCGGACGCTTCGTTGCTGGCTTAGATGTCTTGCTGATTGACGCTAATGTAGCGCTTGTTGTTGCAGCTGGATCCCCGGTCGACTCTAGTATTGACTCTGCAGATGTCTCAGTGGCAATAGTAACGGGGACAGCACCCATCGTGGTTGCTTCTGGAGATTGCCACAGAGGCCATTTCTTCGCATCGTCTGAATCCTCAGGCACCTCTCGGACCTCGCTGTGAGCGTTCACTCGGACACATGAAATTGTGGAATATCGCGCAGACTCAGCACAGGAACGAAGACTTACACAACATTCTCCCCAGCAAATCGGAAAGTCTTCTTGATTTTGACCATCCTCCGTGACGACAACTCTTGTTTCGGTTGGGGCGAAGTCACGGACGCTTGAAACTCGACCCATAGGGCATCGCGCATCCTGGTGTAGGGACAAATGAGCACCCCAGCGGAATTAAGTTTAAGAAGCCTCACTTTTCTGCAGTTTCTGGGTCTATCTCGGCACGAGAAGGGGAGGTCGTCCGTATACGCTTCGCACTAGGCTCGTCATCGCCAGAAGAATGTCGGTCGTCTAGATAAATAGTCTCAGTGTCGAACATATAAGCGTACAGGAAACACACCTGGATGATGCGGAGGAACATAATCGGAATCGTTTTCAGAATCCGAGGCGCTGCGCATGCTTCTCCTCAAGCTAGTAATAGGCTGAATGAAATGTGTAGGAGTTGAGTCGAAGTCCGGAGTAGATAGTGTATACTCCAGCTCCAGATAAGTGTTTAGGGTTGTATTCCAAGCTCCATATATTACCATATCTGACCATTTACATGTCCCTGGTAGTATATCGGTTAGTACACGCGCCTGTCATTGGGACGCGCGAAAGCGGGGTTCGACTCCCCGCCAGGGAGGCCATTGATTTTATAGATTTCAACGGTTTTTTTCTTAGATCTCAACTTCGGGTCACGGATTACTAGATATTCTACAGCATATTGACCTTGTATTGACCAGGGTAGTATGGTCTCCGCTCTCTGCTCTCCGGTTTCTGGTCTCTGGCACATATACTCATTTCGAAGTTCGACCAGGCTACACTTTGATTGAAATGCTACGCATACGAATATTGTGTTTACAGACGCTAGAATCTATTTGTAAAATCACTGCACATCTCATACCTAGATTAATACGACCGGCCAAACATGGTCCACCTTTTTGCATCCTTGCCACATGCAGTACATTTGGTTTTTCCAGGCTCAATAGGTGGCCATTTTGATTGGTCGAAAGGTATGCACAGTGATTTTGCTCCTGCCGACGGAGCGCGCTCGTCTTGGGGCTCGGCGCTGCACAGATGGTCAGATATCTGGCGTGACAGATTATATACTATACGCACGCTCGCGCACTGCGCTCTTTGATATCATCTTCGCATGCTTCCTCCTCGCACCATGGCATGACAGCAACGCACTTGTCTTCCAGGGTAGGAACAACGTCTTCCCAGCGCGTGACCTCTCGGAGGCGAGAGAAGTATGTGTCTTGCGCTCGCTTGAACATATCCGCCTGAATAGTATCAAGAAGCTTAGGGACCGATGCCATGAGATCTGCGAGGGGCAATGGAGCCTTCGTGCCCGTATCACGGCGGACGCTAAGCGTCTGCTGCTTTGCAAGGTCGGCTGGCCCGATCTCTAGACGGAGCGGCACACCCTTTGCATAATTTGTTCAGAGCTGTGAAGTGAACGTAGCAACCAGAACATACTTTTTGTTCCCAATCGTTGAACTTGAAGCCGGGAGTGTATCCCTCACGAAGGTCAGCCTTAGCCTTCACTCCCACCGATTTCAGGGACTTGGAGAGCTCTTCACATTTATCATTGATGGCTTTCCTTGACTCGTCACTCGTCTTCGCTGTGATACCACATGGCACAATGATGACCTGGATGGAAGCTACCCGCGGGGGAAGAACTAAGCCTTGGTTGTCTCCATGAATCATCACCATCACACCAATCGTACGCGTCGACAACCCCCACGAATTCTGCCAGACATATACCTTGCCTTGTCCAGTTGGATCATTGGGATCCTCGACGAAGATGTTAAACATCTCCGGTCTCGAGAAGTTTTGTCCGAGACAATGAGACGTGCCGGCCTGTATTCCGCGTCCGGTCGTGGGCACAAATCCCTCAATAGTCGTGGTATACAGTCCACCTGCGAATTTCTCTTTCTCCGACTTTATGCCAGGAATGACAGGCACTGCGAGCAAGTCTTCATAGACCTGTCGGTATAGCTCCAATATCTCGCGGACTTCAGTATCTGCTTCTGCTTTCGTGAGAAATGCAGTGTGGCCCTCTTGCCAAAGGAACTCGCGTGTTCGCAAGAACGGTTCTGATGTTGACATTCAAAATTTCAACACGCAGAAGCCGGTATGATCACTCACGAGGATTCTTGAATTCCCATCGAACGACATTGTTCCATTGGTTTAGCTTCAGTGGAAGGTCTCGGTGACTTTTGATCCACTTGGCGTAGTCTATACAATCATATCAGAACCTACAAAGTGATCTACTTGTAAATTGCTTACACGGATACATGACTGTCTCGGATGTTGGACGAACTGCGATAGGCTCCTCAAGGTCAGAGTTCCCACTTACGAAATACGAATGAGATATTATGTTCATAGGAGAATGTCTAGAACGCACGCTCGAGTCACCCAAGCCACTTCTGGAGAAAAGCCTTCAATATGATCCTTTTCCCGTTCCAATACCTTTGATGATACGAACATGGGAAAATACGCGTTCTGCACTTCCATCTCGCGGATACGAGCATTGAACCAATCTACGAACGCGTTATATTGCGCAAGTAGAGAAAGATGACCCAAAGCATACCTTGAATGACTTCCCAGATACTGTATGACCACGGACGCAAGATATAACATCCACTAACATTATAATAGTCCATCATTTCAGCCTTTATGAGCACCTGCAAGGAAGCGCAAGTTAATCTTAAGCAGGGAAAAATGAGAAAACTGTTGTTCACATTTGTATACCATCCTGCAAAATCGACTTCTTTCTTGATACCAATGGCAATCTGAATGGCACCCTCTATCTTTGCATCTTCTTTTTTCTCCTTGACCGGTGCAGCTTTTGGCTGTACTGTAAGCGTGTCTGCTCCGACCTTCAAAGCTTCGAAGTCAACTTCTTGCAAAAGAGCCTCCTGAGTCTCCAGTAGTTTCAGATATGCATAGATATCCTTTCCAGACAAGAAAATGGTTGCACTTGATGAGAGCGCACGGACAGCGAAAAGCGCCGTTGATGAGATGATCGAGGAGTCGATCGCAGTCACGACTTTGGGATATGTCTGCTCGTTTAATGCCAAAGGAGAGACTAGGCATGATATAAGATATGAGGCAAACGGAGAAAAGCTTGCTTACGGGAGTTTTTGTCAAGAGAGAAGAACTCAGTTAACAAGTCCTCCGAACCCAGACGAAGCTCCTTCAACCCGAGTTTCTTGCCTACCGCACCAGAGATTACTTCCGTCCCCTCGCGAGCAATGATGACCAAAGGCACAGGAGTTGCAGTCTTCGCAGTCTTCGGCTTATAGACGAGAGTTTTCAAAAGCTCGAAAGATTTTGGAGCAGAAGACGCTCCTTCCAACGCTTCGCGCCATGACGCAGGCGAATTAGTGGTACTGTGTGACACAATAGCTTGCGGCTGAATCGATAGGCCTGTCAGAGACTGCGCGATACTTTCCACAGACATGGTGGTGGTAGTAAGAGTTCTTAAGCAGCAGTAGCGTTCTGTACAGAGCTGAGCGCTTTTTGATACTGACTCGACGCATCTGGACGTTATCAGATGGCGAAGCCCTGCTCGCGTTGAAAGGCGTGGTGCACATAGAGCTAATCTTCTTCCAGCATGGTAGAGCCCCAGCATGCAGCCCAGAAATATTTGCAAGAATCCGGGATTCGGAACACAGGCAGAGCGTAAGCAAAACGAAGCACAGCTGCTATAGCCTCTACGTGGTAGATGAGCGCCTACTGTAGGCAATTTACGCGAAGCGCGTCTTATTAGCGCGTTTGTCGCGTCACTTCGAGCAGTGAGATCAATTAAATAACTATTCTACTCTACTTTCAATTAATTGCGTAACTGTACTACAGTAAAAATGAGCAACTCTGTCACTGCTCTGACAAGACTTCAGAACATCTATGGCATAATGCGTCTTCCTCGGGCCGGGTGTATGTCCAGCAACGAGGACATTTACCTCCAGCTGCAGGCTGAATAAGGATATGGATTGGATGTATCAGCCCTGTGATTAAAGAAAAAGAATCAGAAAAGAAGGCTGTACAGTGCTAGGACCCGTACCATCTACAGGTAATACTTCTTGGTATTGCCAACTTGGCGCTGGGGCGAGGATCGATGTACCATCCGACACTTTAACACCAGATACAATGAATAGGGTCTTCAGGAAAGGCTCTGTCATGCGAGAGTCAGCGGCACGCGGATCTTCTGCTGAATATATTGTACCCACCTTCACGTCGTAATACGTCGAGAGCATGACTGGATCCAGGTGGCAATGTTAGTACTGCGTCAGCCTCCAAGGAACTCTTCAGATTTCTGGTGATTCAAGGCGTTGTGAGCACGTCAGGATAACACTATAAAGAGAGAAAAGTCATACTTGTCTCGACGGGCTTTCTCCAAGGTAGACAGTACTTTGTTGCGGATGCGAAGCAGCTCATTCATGTCGCGTTCGGCATTGTCATCTTCCCATTCCGAGCTCTGTACAGCGACGTAAAGCCCCGTAGACACACAAGAATACAAATATACAAGCACGTACCAGAGGTTTCCATTTGTGACTAAGAGGACTAGCACGTAACGCATCATGAATCTCCATAGAAAGGTAGGGCAATATTGGCGTCATGACCGAGGTCATAGTAATGAGAGCCTGCAGGACCATAAACTGAATGTTTCAACATTCCATAATAGCAAGACTCACTTGCTCTAAGACAGTGAGAGTAGCGCGTCTTTCAAGGTCACTCCTAGCGTTCGCGTAGAGACAGTCCTTTTGAATATCGAGGTATAATGCGGAGAGTGTGATGTTCGCGAAGTTAGACAGAGCATTCACCACTAAAATCCATCTCAGCATATCACTAGAGCCTTGGGCATAAACAGACGTGGACAACCTTTTGGAAAATCGTATGCCGCGTAACTCTGCAATGCCACCTGGTCGAGCTTGTATAGCTCATGCATTACATAGCGTTCAGCCTATTCAGAGAACCATCAGCTCTGTTTCTTTTTGTTCAATTCAATACGTGCCAGTCCAAGGCTCTTGCGTTCAATTCGATCGGCCAACGGCTGGTCTTCGAGTACACCTAAGATGAAGCGAGCAGAATTTCGAATCTTCCTGAGCGTCTCGGCGCACTGGGCGAGAAGTGTTGGACCAATATGCATGTCTTTCGTGAATTCAACGGTAGCAACCCAGAGCCGGAGAACTTCGGTGCCGTAAGCGGGCTCTTTCTTGAGGTCCTGGAATGCGGATATCGTTAGTGCCAATGTACTCCGAGTACATTGTGAGAGATACACACCTTGCCTCCATGAATGATCGTCATGGGATCCACTACATTCCCGAGGGATTTACTCATCTTTCGTCCAGACTCGTCGAGCACCATGCCGTGGGTGATAAGAGTGCCGTATGGTGCCATGGTCTCGCGACCAGTAGCATCAGCAGTCCCAATTGCCGTAAGTAGCTGGCTCTGGAACCACCCACGATGTTGGTCTGTCCCTTCCAAAGACACGTCGGAGCCGAACTGGCGTCCGTTGCTGCCAGTGGTGCCATCCAGTGGATACAGACTATCCAGCATTGACCACGACGTGCCACTATCAAACCAGACGTCCATCGTATCCGTACTCTTGCGCCACGTCTCTGTAAGTTGCTTGACATCCATGCCATTCTGCATTGCAGGGGGTATGAACTCTTCGACGGGCCCACTCCACCAATACTGAGTGCCTTTTTCCTGTAATACACCTAGGATATGCGTCAAGCTATCCGAATCCAGTACCGCACGCCCTGAGGGAATGTGATGCAGAGCAGGAATGGGCACTCCCCAAACACGCTGCCTAGAGATGCACCATTCGGAACGACTCTGGACATACGATTCAAGCCTGTTGCGTGCTTCACTTACGTAAGTGAGCAAACACAAGGTGGATGGAGAGGAGCTTACACTGAGGTGGGACAAATTGAACATCCTGCAGGGACAAGACTGCATTACCCTTGATCTGGTCAATGTTTGCAAACCACTGTGATGTTGCACTGAAATATGATGTATGGCCATTAGCACGGACGTATTGGAAAACTGACGAGCATGCGCACATAGTAATGACAGGCTTGTCTGTCCGCCAGTCATACGGATATCGATGTCGTATCCTGTGAATCTTGCGCAGAGCGCCAGTCGCATCTATAAGCTCGACGATGGCTTTGCTGCCTTCACTTAGTACTTCTTTACCGATTAGCGAGGTTGCAGCTTCAACACCGACGACATCAGCTACATCATCGGTGAATTGTCCCAGATGATCTACGTGGCAAAGCAAACTTCCGGTGGAGGAAGACGGTGATAGCATGTCAAGCGCACGGAAGACAAGATAGTCTTCCGCACCGTGGGCTGGCGCACAGTGCACAAGACCAGTACCAGAGTCGGGTGTGACATGTGAAGAAGGTATGATGGGCAGTGATGACGGTGCAGGACTATCCTTAAGAGACGAAAACAAAGGTTGATATGTACCACCGACCAATTCAGAGCCTGATCCCATGAATACCTTAGTAGATTATGTGGGTCAAGCGCATAGACCATACCTCGAATCTCCGCAACGGGCACATGGGAACCCAACACCTCCGGGTGCTCTATGAGGGAGCACTCGCGTTCGACCGCAAATATGTCCAGAGGAGCAGTCGGGTCATCACTGGAAGCCACAGCTTTATATATCATCTCGGGATTGACGGCAATAGCCTGCGTAGAGATCAGCAATAATAAAGAATATCACAACGTCCCTTCGTTACCATGTTGGCAGTCAGAGTCCATGGGGTAGTTGTCCATACCAGCAGCCGCACACTACTTCGATGAGTGATTAGGGCGCGCAGCATTGGGCTCATCTGCGGGCTGTCTAGCTCAAGTTTAAACGCGATGTATACTGAATGAGAGACGTGATTGTCGTTGTACGTTAACTCCGCTTCAGCAAGCGCCGAGCATGATGACGGGGAAAAGTAGACGGGGCGATAGTGCCTGTAAATGAGCCCTACGGAGAATTGTTCGTGCTAGCGTCGAACGAAACAAACGTCTGACAGTACCTTTCTCGACCATTCTCTGGAAGATTCGCAATTGTCGCGTCTCGTAGTCATGGTCTACCACAGTATCAGAGCTGGTATCGTTGAAGGGATGAACCACTCACCAAGAGATCGATAGGTTGATTCAGGCCGCCAATCAGCCATGATGCCGAACTGACGAAATTGGTCCTGCTGAACACATATTTCCTGTCTTGCAAACGCTTCGGCTTTCTCGCGTATAACAGAAGGCGTCAAATCGGTCGGACGTTTCTTCAGCAACAGTCAATCTGTGCACGAGGTATGAAGTAGTGAATACCTACTCCCAACTGCTGTAGGACCTTGTTCTCAATAGGCAGTCCGTGACAATCCCATCCAGGCATGTAGCTACGAGACATCAGTGAACGAGACAGCTATGATAACTGCAAAAGGACTTACTGCACACGGTGGCCTAAAGAGACGTGATACCGGTTGATGATATCCTTCAGAATCTTGTTAAGTGCATGACCTATACGATGTTAAGTCCCTAAATATCACATTGACAAACCGTCATACCTATGTGCAATTTGCCATTTGCATAGGGGGGGCCATCATGCAGAACGAATAGTGGCCCGTCAGCGTGCTCCCACTACTTCAAAGGACGATAAGTGAGATTACAGGCCAGAATACTGAGCTGACCTGTTGCTTGTAGAGCTCATCACATGCGCGCAAACGCAGCTCCTTGTGTTTGGATACATCATTCCTTAGCGGAAACTTGGTCTTCGGTAGGAGTAATGTCTTGGAGTACGCTTTGTTATCTAATACTGGAGTAGCCTTGGCTCCGAAACGTTGCGCTGCCGTGGTCGACAACTGGCGACATATAACCCGAAAGCTGCCACCACCGTGCTGAGAAATAAAATGAGTTGGCCACAGACGCATCTACGATGCTCCACTCCACCGGCGATCTATGTCGCACAATGGCCACGAACGGTGACAAGGCCAAAGACTGAGAGCCGCCGTCACGGCAGAGGTCCAAGCGCCTCGGTTGAGCTCGGTCGCGACTACACGTGTCACGTGCTTTAGCGTGGAACGCGAGCGCGTTTGTTTTTCAGTATTTGTGGCTTCAGTTGAACAAAACGAGGTTAGCGCTGTAGGTGTGTACGGGGCGACCTTTCACTTCTTATTGAGACATTCATTGCACCAACTCCTTCTTTTCTGTATCATATATCCTGGTATAGAGCTGTTTCTAAGCACTCGCATGTCATCGAACATACCGGTAAGTTTGTTATGCTATAACGCTACGCGGTACACTAAGCTGTACCAGACACGCCGTGTAACGCGGGCAACCCGTACCACTACTGTCCTCCGAGACAAGGAAAATGCTACAGCGCGAAATTCACGCGCGACTCGCGCGAAGCCACCATCAACGGCCAACGCTGTTGAAAATGCGAAGCCGACTGGTATCGCTCGGGCGACTTCGTCTACGGCTGCCACTAGAGCAAAGTCGGCAGCTGCTTCTACGCGAGCAGATCCTGCGGCGCAGGGCAAGCGTAAACGTGAAGCATTGGGTGAGGTCCCTAAGCCGCCAGAGAACAAGCTCGCCAAACCAGTCAATGTCGGGCCGGGTCTCACCGCTGTCAAAGGAAAGGAGCGCGTCAAGGAACTTAAGGAGAAGTTTGAGGGGGTCGTGCTTAAGAAGACAACGACGACAACGACGACTACAACCACTGTACGTCAGCCCCTGCGAACCGTTGGCGGCCCTACAGCCAAGCCGTCCTCAACAGCTGCAGGAACAACTCGCCGGACGCGTAGTGCTGCTGCACAACCCTCTCAACAGCATCAGCTGCCCCATTTGGAGGAAGAGCTGCAGGAAGATGTTGACGCGATGGCGGTGGATCCGGTTCTTATCGTTCCTGTTCCTTCCCCAAAACGGTTTGTAGCTGCGCGGGAGGCTGCAGCAGCGGGGCCACCTCCGGTCCGTCTGCGAACGCCCAGGCGGTCTTTTGGGAGATATCCCGCGAGGCAAGAGGAGGAGGACGAGGAGGCTCATCGCGCTTTCAAAAAGCGGCGTACATCATCCGATATTCCGGACGAAGAGGCTGCAGCCGAGGTAGAGGATGCTGTTGCGTTAGCGGGACCGCTTGAGGCAGATCCCAATGGGAACGAATGGGATGACTTGGATGTCGAAGATGGTGATGATCCTCTTATGGTCAGTGAGTATGTCGTCGAAATCTTTGACTATCTCAAAGATGTCGAGGTGCGTTTGCCATGTTTGCTTTTTGTTATGTCGTATGACGTCATGCGTCACCCTCTTAGCAAACGACGATGCCGAATCCGCGGTATATGGAGAATCAAAAGGATCTTGCATGGAAAATGCGAGGAATTCTTACGGACTGGCTGATCCAAGTGCATTCGCGGTTTAGGTTGCTCCCAGAAACGCTGTTCCTATGCGTTAACATCATTGACCGCTTCTTGTCTGCACGTGTTGTCTCGCTTGCGAAGTTGCAACTCGTTGGTGTCACCTGCATGTTTATCGCTGCCAAGGTTGAGGAAATGGTTGCCCCAAGCGCGACAAACTTCCTCTACTGCGCCGATTCGAGCTATACCGAGAATGATATCCTCCAGGCTGAGCGCTACGTACTCAAAACGATTGACTGGAACCTCAGCTACCCTAACCCGATACATTTTCTGAGACGGGTCAGTAAAGCGGATGATTATAACGTCCAAGTACGAACGATAGCCAAATACCTCCTCGAAATCCAATGCCTTGAATGGCGTCTCATCGCGGCCCCGCCCTCCCTTCTCGCTGCCGCAGCCATCTGGCTTGCGCGTATCATACTTGGCTATTCAGATTGGGTATGCGTCTTTATTCCTTGCCTTCAACTTGTTCTTACTTGAGTTTTAACAGACGCCTAACCTCGCACATTACTCATCGTATCCAGAGAGTGCTATCGTTCCCACCGCAAATTTAATGCTCAACTATGTTCTCAAGCCTATCCCCCACGAGTCGTTCTACAAGAAATATGCGTCAAAGAAGTACATGAAGGTACGGTATTATACATATGACTATCTCCATGTAGTTGAAATGGTGTCACAGGCGAGTGTATTCGTACGACAGTGGGCCTTGGAGCGATGGAACGAGGGCACTACCATTTCGCTGGTAGATATGCTGCCAGAGCTGAAGGCGCTCATTCAAGAACAGCGTGCTCAGGAAGAGCGAGCGGCGCTGGAGGGAGCAGTGGCGGCAGATGCGGAGGGAGACGAGTATCAAACCGAGCACAAGTTTCAGTACGGATCGTGAAAGTGGTCCGTTCTCCTGTTCTAGCACTCTCAAACGGATCGCACCATTCAACTATCTTATACTTCTGTATCAGCACGTAAGTATCGGCAGTGGCCATCCATTCGTTTTCGGACATCGCAGAACGCATCTATTGCATACCCTCGCATTGATGACTATTGTTTTCTTCTGTATTGTTGTCCCGTCCGCTGACTTGTCTTTTCCGCATGTGGTATGTGATGATGTACATGTTCCCGTTCACCTCATCCATCTATCGCCGACATCGTCTATACCTGTCGTACACCCTTTACCTATCATCTCCATATTCGCAGCATTTTTCACGTGGATTCACATTTTCTCACGCCTTCATGTGCCATTTGCTTTGTACAACACAATTAGGTAGACTAAACACAGATATACATAAGAGGAATGATCATGCAGTTATGTACGAGAAGTTCAACCGGTAATTTGAGCCCTCGGTCCAAAACCTTTTCCTTCTTAGACTTTTCTGATGCCATAACTGGTCTCTAGAGCACTTGCATGTATGGCTCGAGGTTTGCCATGAAGCGTGTCCATCGGCCGCCATTCCATCCTTCCAGCCTGCTCCACCCGTCCGCAGGGCCTGCCAGCTTGAACCAGACCAAAATACCGCCGACAACAAAATCCGCATAGGAAGGGCCTTCCAGCATGCTGAAAAGCCACGGATCGCGGTGCTCGATACTGTCAATGAATTGCGAGAGGTCGTTGAAAGAAGCCTCTAGCTGAGCCCATACGGCGGTCTGTTTTTCCGGCGGGAACATTTCGGAGAGTTCAACACCTATATATGCGGCACCGGCCCCGAAGAAAGTGAATACTCGTTAGCTGGGTGGGGGCGCCAACCGCATGATACACACCGAAGAGTCTCTTTCGCGAGCTTACATAGAACTCTAAGTCCCGGCCCTCAAACAACTTTACTGCGTTGGGGGCCACAACAGACGCTACGTCAAGTAAGATCAGCTTCTTTATTGTCGCGACATACGATGCCTGCGCTTCCTTTCCGCCAGAATAAATGGATGGCTCTGGGTAACATGTCTCGAGATAGTCGGCGATGAGGGATGAGTCTGCGATGAGGGCAGGAGGTCTTCCATCAGCCACATCATCAACAATGACTGGAAGCGTGCGTCGAGGTTCGGAGGCGCGAGTGATCGGTGCATTGATCGAAGCAAGAAAATCCTGTTGATCAGCGTAGTGCACCCAGTGAGTGGTATACGGCAGCTTCTTATAATTCAGAATGAATCTGGTGTAAACAAGAATTGAAATGTCAGTGGTAATTTCCTTCAATAATGGGATAACACAAACCGATTGATCCAGACATGAGGAGACCAAGCCGTGTTGATTGTAGTGGATTTCAGGTCATATAGTGTGATCTTGTGGTGGGTAGCCATTGTAGTGTCGACAACTTGAGGAAGCCGACTTGTGATCGCCAGCCCGCCAGAAACCAACGCTTTTTATGCAGTCCAACCTTCGGACTTTCTGATTGTATTATTACGGCTAATCCCCACAATCCTCCACATGGTCGCACTGGCAGCTGCCGAAAGACCCTATACCGACGAACATAAAAAGTAATTCCTGTAAATTGAGATATGTTCCGAAGTACGCCATTTGTGTTAAACAAATGTCGTCCGAGCATCATCCAAGTCGTATCACAGATACTTCAAGAGTAGTATACGGAGGTCCGGAAATGTCGGTTTCCGCACACGATTTCTAATCTTCGCACAACTTGTCGGTGCCATCTTCACAAACTTAGTCATTTGAGACACTGTGTCGAATGGCCAATGGCCACTTCGGTGCCGCAACTTGCTATGACAGCGAGTACCATCAGACACCGCCTGATTCAAAGTATTTATCGACTCACCGTCATTTCGACTTCGCGCGCGATACATGGTTAATCCTGTGGTCAGCACGGAGGTTTCTTTGATTGAACGTGATATTGCCATATCACTGCGTCCCGGGCTACGGTCACCATCGAATCACCGGCTTCTGCGAGTCCTGAAACATGACCGTCGCGAGTGGGGCGGTAGGCATGCGAGATATTAGTGCCGAACTCAAATCTTCTGTATCTTTGCAGGTCTCTGGGGTCGTGGGCTTCAACATTTCACGTTAGGAGATATGTGAGGACAAACGAGCGCGCTTCGCGTGCTGATGAGTCATAATAGATTCGATCAAGACTCTGCGTCGTAAGGTCCAATGTCTCCATGTCGCAAGTCGAATAGATGTGATTTAACAGCCAGTGACATATTCATATTTGATTCTTACCAATGATTGGAGGGGGGGATGTAGACTGTAAACCGATACCCTTGGCGACTCGAGTTGATTAGCCAGCAGTATGATGGTCTGTAGTACACCCTCAGTGGTATACCATGTGCCGCTCCTGGGATAGGTGGCCGAATAAAATCGCTAGAGATAAACGAAAAACCGCGATGAGTGAACTCGCTATGAATCGACTTCACCCTCATATCAGTGATAGTAATGATAGTGGTATTCCTCGGCGCCTCGCGTTCGCTTCCCAAGTGGTGCGGGCGTGGGTGGCAGCTGCTACGCCAGCCGGTGTCGGACAGGGGCCTCGTGGGTATCCTTACTCTCTAAGTGGGGTTCGCGGCGGACTGGGTAGGTAGGGCGCATGACCCGTAGTACGATCGTAGTTACTGATAGCGTACGTAGGCCTCTGTACCGGGTCGAGCGTCATGTGATTTACTTACACCATGGAGTTTTTGCCAATTCATGGGCCTCCTCAGGCTCCTCCTTCTCCTCAGTTCAAGTTGGGCCGGCAGTGCCGAAAGCATTAACCGCGCTCCTAAAGATCATTGATCATCGATCAACGGTTAACTTCAGCCCACTTGGACATATCGTCCAGAATCGTCACTTTATATATATGCAGACGGAAAGCAGTCTTAAAGCTTGTCAGAATAACATAGTGATCTTACTTGTACATTTGGTATATTAGCAGCATGGAGTGTATACAGGTGTGTTACAGATAGTTCTAGACAACATATCCGCGAAAGCTATAAGTTAGTCCACATGCACTGATACTGTCACTGCTGTCCGCGGCCTGCATTTACAATGCATTTCAAATACGTTCATACATACAGATATATGCTTTCGCCTTCAGAACCTCCTCGATGGTGGTGAGTCGTACTACTGTGTCGCTAATGTAGGCCCACTGCCGGGCAGGTTTGAGCGCCTGTTCCGGTATGCTTGTTTGTGGGAGGGCATTTGGAGAAACGATAGGCTCGGAAGCAATGGAACTATTCGAAGCAGAAGGCTTGGATACTGGATGCGATGGTGGCAGCGCGGTATAGGCAACATAATGTCCACCCAACTTCATGCAAAAATCATCTTAGCATTAATACCCGCAGGAGGTCAAGCAAACGCACCATATTGCCGATGTGTACCACTACTGCGTAGAGTCGATACATACATCTCGAAGGTGCGCTAGATGCTTTGAAGTTGCTCTTCCTAGCCTTGTCTAAACCAAAGTCTTCTTTCCTCGGGGCAAGAAAGGGTGTTAAGTCTAGCAACTCTGGGAAAGCGATGAACTCGTCAAGCTTCTTTACACCGCCCGAAAAAGACACAGAGTACATCTTTGATGTCTGCTGGAATCGTTTCAGATGTACGACAAGTACAGGCGGGGGATCCGAGATTAAATATCGCTTATACATGCGTCGCAATACCACCTGCTTAGCGCGAGACACTTTGGAGGACGATGCACCAGACGAGGCGACCTTCGAGAGATCCGAGCTGGCAACACCTGTAGATAGGTTTTCAAGGGATGCTCTTGGGGACACAGTGGGCGACGCTCCTAGGGATGCGACGGAAGAGGCATCCGAATACACTGATGTGCTTACAGAAATATCGCTATCTGAATCGTACGAGTCATCTGTCGTGTTGCCATCCACTTTGGTCTTCGCACGGTATTTGCCGCCTGGTGCAAGCAGAATATTATCGGGAAATGCGACACCGAGACTCGGGCTTGTAGGTCTGCTCAAGGCCTCGTGAGTCTCAGAGCGGTGCGCAGGCGAGGTGATGGGCGACTCGGGACCTGTGGTAGATATCAGTGGGATAGGCAATCCACTGTACGTAGTGGGGCGTGTTGGCGACACAAGTGGTGAAAGCATGTCAAGCTTGTTCGGAGCGTCCAAAGGTGGACTGTTCGGTGCTTGAGACCCCGACCCTGTAGTTGTTGGGGCAGTTGTGGACGTTGAATCTGATAGATGATCTGACAGAGAGGTCGAACTCTTTGGCGTAGAACCCGTAGGCGATGTGGGGTTACTTGCAGAACGCTCTGGTGACGAGAAAAATGATTCTCTGGAGTTGGTCGCTGGGACGTCCTGTATAGCCACAATAGTTTTGACGTCGGCACTACACTTCGCGGGACTGCCCTCACTTTCCTCACCCTCGCTCGCGGCATCGTCGTCCTCCGCATCTATATCATCTCGGCGCCGTAGTTTGTACGTGCCATTCGCGATCTTCCAGCATCGACGGCATCCGACCATGTTCTCGCCGTCTAACAGCTCGACGGCAGTGAACATCCGTAAACATTCTTCGATCCCAGGTAAGTGCCCTATCTTTGCCCAGGCAGCCGCGGCGGGCGTGATATGAACACTATGACCACCTGCCACAAATGCCTGGTGAAGTATTGACAGTGGGTTGGCCGAGGGATTTTGGACGTCGGCCAGAAGTTGTTTCAGATACGCGGCCTCTTGACGAGTAGGTTTCGGTGCGAGCGGCGACTTCTTCCGCTTACCTGACAGAGCCGTGCTACGTCTTGACGGTACGGGCCGACTGGCTACTGCAAGTGGGGGAGTTCTGAGAGGCGATGAAACATTGGGGGCGGGAGAAGATGAAGCCAAGCGCAGACGTGCAGCAGCTTCCAGTAGTGCGTCGTTCAAGTCCGGTCTACTGCTGTCGTCTGCTTGTATGGTACTGGCGGGGGAAGAATGGGGCATGTCTGCGCTTTCACTCTTCAAAGAAGTTATGGGGTCCACTCTCTTAGTACGAGCATTTCTGCCTCGCTCAACTGAGCGGCTAGGGCTTCCTGAATCTAGAACTTTCATACCCTTTCTCATTGAAACGCTGATTCGCCGCCCGAGTTTACCCCATGGATCTTCTTTCTCCTTGCTCTCCTTGTCCTTACCGCTCTTGCTTTCGTGGTCAACTTTGACTCTGGTGTAATTTAAGAGCTCAGCCGGCTTCTCATCCTTGTCCTCGCCACTTCCCAATTCTTCATCTTCTATGGCGATCGCATCGGTAGGTCTTGCCTTGGGCAGTTCCCGCACGACATTCCTTCCTTCCTCAACTTCAGCATCCTCCTCTTCTACGTGATCGATACTGCGCCTGCGCGGGCCCTCGTTCAGTGGAGGATCATCTTCTGGTCTCGGAACTTCAAGACTGCGCCTGAGCGGATCCGCAGGAACCGACGATGATCGATGTCCAAGCCTGTCGCGTCCTTCCTGTCCCGGCTGTCGGAATGGTCCTCGCAACTTTCGCGCAAATTGCTTAAGCCGATCACGTTTTCGGTCCTTGACGTAGTCTTCCGGCTTGATGCTCAGGCTCAAGTCATTAAAATCCTCGTATGTGAGTGAAACCTTCTGGCATTTCTCGCACACCAAGATGCTCGCCAGCCGTCCACCAAATAGCATATCCACGAAGGAGGCAAGCTTTTCATCATCACCGGAGATGGGCGCGGGAGGGAGCATACGTTTCTTGCGCCCCCGCTTCCGTGATTCCTCCACTGGTGGCGGTGGTTGACGCTTCTTGATTATCTATGATTCAACTCATAACTTAGAGGCCAAAAGACTGCCGGATATAATTCATAACATACGTCCATTTCTTCCATACGCATCGCGTCTAGCATATGTCGCAAAAACTCATGAGCATCTTGTTGTCGAAAGTCCATGTACTGGTCGTACTTCTTGCCCATCGTAAACAGAAGCTCTCTATGCCACTACGTTCATCAACAGATTAATACCGCTTGAGAAAACTCACTTTGGACTCATGCTCTCGCGCCGCTGGCTCTCCTGGATATCCCATCCCTTGCGCATCACATCGATGAAAGTATCACCGAGAGGCATATCCTCCACCTTCGCATGTTCATATTGTCCTCCAAGGCCGTGTCCGTTAGTTAACTGAGGCGATCTCTGCGCCACGATGGACGTGCCGAGTGTGCTTTTGAGCGAAGCGGGTACAGATCGGAAGTTTACAAGGTTGTGCAAGAGCTCGGTGGCCATAAGCTGACCCCGACAAGGATGCTCAGCCCGAAATTGCGTTGCAGAGGGCATGAGCACTTACCCCCTGCAATGTAGAGTTCATGAAACAAGTGTTCCCATGGTTTATGAGGCCCGGAGGCAGATTCGCGTCCTTCTCTTCCTCCTCCCGCTGTTTCCTCGCCCGATATATTTCCTGCGGTGTCGGCTGATTCTTCTTGTGCTTCAGCATGATGAAAGTATGGTTTCTATGCGAATGGCCACGAAAGCCGGCTTCTACAGGCTGAAAGCTTCACCGGGGTTGTTGGGGCCTTTAAATCAGAGTGGACAAAATCTAGACAGTGCCTTCTTGTGCTGCGGCGAGCATCCGCAGGCAGAAAAAAAAGGTGCAGCAATTGTGGTTGTCTGGGGCACAGGGGATTGAAGAAGTCTAACGTAGGCGAAAGAGACTGAGTAGTAATATTCCAGTCATCAGAAGAGATGCGCGGTTCAGCAACGCTCAGCCGCTAGGACTTGCGGCGTGCGCCAAGACAATAGTTCGGCAGATGTGGCAGACCCCGCGTTCAGGCTCAAGCTCAAGCATGAACTTGCACAATGTGTACTGTATATCGCTAGCTATGGGATTGCAAAACGCAAGTTGCCTACTATTCAGCGTAACATTTCCATATACCGCAATGACGAGCATTATCAGTTTTCGACTCGACCATGCAAAAGGGCGCCCGGGCGACTGGAGCCAAGCGCACTCAGCGTTGTGAATTGTTGAGGCGTCGATGAGGGGCTTGCCAGAGTGTTTTGCTGCGGTACCAACACTGAGGCCGCAGAGTAGATCTTAAACCGTGGCCCTTAAAGGATGGTCGAATATTCCCCCCCCCC